CGACGGCGCATTGTCTCTCCAGCGCCCGACCTCTCCGCTTCGCCTTCGCCTCCGCCCGGACGCCGCGTGCGCCCGGGGATTTAAACCGGCGACCGATACCTGGTCTGGTCCCGCCCAGAGGGTACGCACGCGCGCGCGCGTGTGTACGAAAGTACCTGCGTCGGAAGAACCGCCCCAGCGAGGATCGCCCTGAGTGGCACAGCCGGCGCAATCACCGCAGAGGCGTCGCCTCCGAGGAGGAAGCGACACAGCTGCGCGGGCGGCGTGGCGTGGCGTGGCGTGGCGTGGCGTGGCGTGGCGTGGCGTGGCGTGGCGTGGCGTGGAGCTTGCGCGCGCGCGTGCGATCGCGGCGATAGCGCACGCGAGGGCCCAGCGCGCCGCGTCGGCGCCAACGCGGAAGCGACGAGGCGGGCGTCCGCGTCCGGAGGGGGGCCGTGGGTCGACCCCCCGCGCACGAACCGCCCCGGGGACCGAGCGGGCGAGCTGCGCGGAGCCGAGCTGAGCCGAGCCAGCCGTGCGCAGCACACTTACCCCGTTGCGCCGGTGACGCCCCTCGGCTGCGGGCGCCCCACATAAGGGAGCTGGAGCTGCGCTCTCGCCGCAGAGGCCTGCGCGCGCAGTGGACGGGCTGCGGCCGCAGGGTGGTTCCCGGCCTCTGCGGTACGATTACACTTGTGCAGTGACTGGACTTTAAGAGAAAACAGTTTAGACAACCGGACTGTGCAGTGTTTAAAATCGTGTTGAATCTAATTCTCTGGATTAAGACTGTGTGCGTATGCGTGATGACAGGTCCACGCTTTGAGCGGGGAACTTTTGTATTGTTTTAAAAACGTACTCTATGGAGTGTGACTGAGGACCAAATAAATCTCTATGAAGATACTGAACTATTCGTGTTGTGCCCAAAACTTAATCGTGCTGTTTGATTGGACGGACCCTTCTCTGCGTGGTTGAACATGTGATACGTGTTTACTGTGAATAGAACTCATTGGTGTCTAGCTTTATCGCGACTCGCTAGCACTTTCAAGACTTTTTATGCTCTGATGCGCGGAAGATTACTGTCACGGTGGATATCATCAATACAACACGTAACGACACTGACTTTGTGTGCCAGAAACACATAGCGTCGAATGCAATATCCGTGCTACCCCGAGCGTGTGATGGCGAAGTGCTAGCTTGTGCAGGGTGACACTGGGAACCGTCTGCGACCATGACGACGTGCTTCGGCCCTCCGCCGCTGCCGCCCAACAAACGCTCCCTGCTGGGGTCGGGCGCGGGCGACGGCGGGGGCGGGAGCGGGGGTGCGAGTGCGG